TTGAAGCTAACCTTGCACTGTTTTTCATATAAACAATACTTGTAAAAGTTAAGTTGACAAGTTTTAACCCAATCAAGCAAACTGCGTCTGTGAAGTTCCTACAAGCCTTTCTCACTCATATGGCCAAGGCATAAATGTCATAGAGTAGTGTCATCAATACCCAAATAAACAAAGGAGTAGTCACAACTGCTCCACCTGTAATAGTACTCCCTACTAGTGTATACAAATTTCATTGTCGTTTTCTCTTCATGACACCCATGGCCCCTTTAACGACTTTTAAGACCCTATACGTTGCTGTGAATGTGAAACTATTAGAATCAAGTGCACTCAAGGAAATTAAATTTTTTCTAAGATCATGGATATATATCTTATCACCTAGTGTTCTTATCATACCATCGAATATTTTAATTTTAATGGTCCCAATTCCAATGGTCTTGCAAGCTAAATCATTCCCTATTAGGATTGTTCCTCTATTATAGGATTTGTGAGTGTCAAACCATTCGGTATAAGACACGTGTGATAAGAACATCCTGAATTCAAAATTCATTTGTCAGCAAGATAATTCGTACCTGTGGTGACTAATAATAAATCACTATATCTGTTCAAACTATCTTGTTCAATGCCCACTTGATCTGAATTATGAGATTTTTTTCCCCCCAAATTTCACTTTCGTTGATCGCAGTCCCTTTTGAAATGTCTCTCTTGTGACAATAGTGACACTTGTATTTTCCACCACTCCTTGATTTGGAGCGTCCTCCGTTTCCCGAGTGTCTTTGGTTGCTTCTTTCGCATTGTTGACTGAATTCAATTTTAGCAACCAACCGTTTTGCTTGAGAACTATTTTTCGGCTTCCTAAGTGCCTTAGTCTCCAAAAGAGCGACTATTACCTCATCAACATTGAAAGAACCTTTTCCAAACAAAATTGTAGTCACAAATGTATCATAAGAGTATGGACGAGAAGCCAAGAGAAGAATGGTCGTATCTTCTTCTCCAATTTTCAGCTTAACATTAATTAGCAGAGTAATAATTTTATTAAAAACATTGAGTTAATCCAATAAATTTATCCCTTCTTCCATCTGCAATTGATATAATTGTTTTTTCAAAAATAATTTATTTGTGAGCGATTTTGACACATATATATTTTTTATAACCTTTTCCACAATTCAGAAGCAGATGTTAAGTTAGAAAATTATATTTTACCTTTGGTGTGAGATATAAATGAAATGGCACTCACAGCCTTCGCATCAAGTTCCTCCTACTCTTCATTTTCACGGATGCTATTTTTTTCTCGATGTCATCAAGTGCTTTGACTTGCCCTTGTTGCATTAAAATATCTTTCATCGTACTTTGCCATAAGTTAAAGTTATTTTTTTTAATCAAATAGCTCCACCTCGAATTTGCCCATCGAGATTCATTTTCCTGTCATCGTATTGAGTACCAATAATTAAGAACAACGTGTTATGTTCTTAATTTCAACCTTCTCTTGTTGAACCTAGAAGCTCTGATACCACTTGTTGAAAAATATTTGTAGCAAATTGATTAATATGATGACGAGAAAATAAATAAATAAATAATGAAAGCAAACAAAGAGAATAGAACACCAATATTTTCGTGATCTGGCAAAAATTTTGCCTATATCCACGGCACATGATCCAATCACCTTTTTCACTATTGAGCAAAATTGAGTACAATAATATAAGCCTCATCACTCAAGTTTAATATCTCAAACTCGAGATTTTTACACCCTTGTAAACTCCACTCAATTCTCACCAACTCAACATGAAGATACATTAGAGAGCTTTATTATTGGATTCTTGCCACACTCGGATTTTGAGTGAACTTCTGATCCCAAAGTCTAAAAAGACAACACCAATATTTAAGTAGTTTGGCAAAATTTTTGCCTAAGCATGATCCACTTATCTTCTTTATTATTGAGCAAAATTAAGTACAACAGTACAAGCCTCATCACTCAAATTTAACATCTCAAACTCGAGATTCTTCCACCCTTTTAAATTCTACTCAATTCTCACCCCTCGACATGAAGATAAAGTAGAGGGATTTATTATTGGACTCTCGCTATACACTCAGATTTCGTGTGAACTTTGGATCCTGAAATCTGAAAATCCATTGCCTATTTATAGGCTTGAGCTGATGGCACTTTGGTAAGTAAGTTGAACTTCCAAAGTAATGAGTTAATCCCAAAAAAAATCAGATTTTCTTTAAGTTTGTCTTCTTCCTTTGCACTTCACCATAAGCTTGGCGTGCTACTTGGACGAAGAAATCTTCGTCTCAGATTCGGATCAGATCTGACATAGATTCGGCGTCAATCCGTAGCCCACGGACAACGATGCCACCAACAGCCCACCAGGCACCGAAGTTGCGCCGGATTTTCATTGTTGGGTGGCGCTGACATTGAATTCGAACCACCATCACGGCCTTCTGTCAACAGTCCCAATAACCAGAATTCCTATATATATCCAAGAGATCAGCTCAATGGCACGAGCTTACTACCACGAGCCTTGCCCGAGTCCTCTGATATCCCAATAAGCCCCCATGGAGACTTCACAGGGGGTGCCAGCTATACACCTTCGTACAGATTAGCAGGTGGCACCCCCACCACCGACAGTAGGTATAGACCAAGAGTAAGCTAAAGACATAATTGATTAACGTACTTGAAAAAAAATTGGCATGGTCTTGATGCCCAAAGGATGTGGTCACATGATCGAATCTTGCTAAACCTCCTGCAGCCATAGTTCATGGATTTAACTCAGTAACTACACGGTGCAGTTGGGATGGGCAAATTTGATGTACACAAAAAGACTAGGTTGTTGCGCTAAGAGGCCTAAATACCTCAGCTAACAAGCTTGATATAAATACAAGGCATAAATAAGAAACCACGCGACATAACACGACACGCCACTGACTAAAAAGAGTAAGTCACAAATATGTCAGGGGCATGATACAAATAATTATCATTCATATATCAAATTTTATAATTTATCCCAAGTAGAGAAATAATTATAGTACTACTCAAAAAATTCAATATTTTATGACAAATAAATCTTTTGTCTAGTTAGTTCGTGTTGATTTTCACTGTTGATTCTTTTTTTTCTTTTTTTCTTTTTTATATTTTAACAAAAGCGGTTGTTAATGCTTGCAACTACCTTCTGCCCTTAATTAATTTTGAACTAAAATTGTTTTCACTGTCGTATAGTTTTTGAATCGAATACCTTTCGCTGTCATCTCTGATTTGTCTCTTTTTGGGAGATGAAAAGATAATAGTAGTTCATAATAAAAAAAAAACCTTCTATATGCAATGCATGATATAGATATATATAACGTACAAATAATTATGATACATATATCGAAATTTATAATATATCACAACTATAGAGATAATGAAAAAACATGATTGTCTAGATAACCCAAAATAATTGGAATTAAAAGTTTGTTGAGTTGAGTTTAATTAAATTTGCCACAAATATAGGGATAATTATGGTAATTTTTATGAGAAAATCAATATTTTATGACAAATAAATCTTATGTCTAATTAACTAGTGTCGATTCTTAGACTAAAAGATGATAGTAGTCCATAATGATTCACTTTTGTATACAGAATGTGCAGTAAAACATACATGACTATAATAATTGTTCTTATCCTCTCAATCCTTATTCTTTAGTAAAAAATTTATTCATCTTTTTGTTTTATTCTATAAAATAATCATTTGTCAAATATACAGTTTTGTTCATTACAAGCCAACATACAAAGGAATGACAGACACATGTCCGAAATTCAAATTTATTTTCTAATTAAAAACACGAATAAAATATTACCTACCAATATNACAAGCCAACATACAAAGGAATGACAGACACATGTCCGAAATTCAAATTTATTTTCTAATTAAAAACACGAATAAAATATTACCTACCAATATGGAAGAGTCACCGACACGTTTCTAACACGGATACATCACCTCTGTAAGAGTGTCCATTCTTCTTCATAACTCATGGTTATCAAAAAAACAAACTTCCGCTTCTAGACCACAAAACAACCAGAAGTAGAAGCAGAGGAAGCAGAAGACAACTAGACTTGATATTGGNTTCTAGACCACAAAACAACCAGAAGTAGAAGCAGAGGAAGCAGAAGACAACTAGACTTGATATTGGTAGATATTATAGAATTCCAACTTTTTCAGGACAGTTTTTTCTGCATCTACTGTACAGTTGAAAGGCGTGTTAGGGGTTTTGCCATGACAATTTTTAATGATATTTCAAGCTTTGTTTATGAAACAATGTCCGATTTGCCGAGCATTCTGGTGGTTATGCTGCGTTTGATTTACTGTGCTGGCATGTAGATGGCTTATACAGGGAATATGCCTCTTAGCTTTTGTAGTTTTCTATTCTTGATACGAATATAATATCATTATTTACCTGAAAAGAAAGATGAAACTGCAGGAATTTACATTACAAAGCCGCAGAAAATGGTTAATTCGATGCTAAGTTATGTGAATCTAAGAAAAGGTATATGGTAATAATTCCACAAGCTATTATCCAAAGAGTGTTCATTTCCAGCTTGATCTAAGCGCACTCAAGCTTATTTATGGATTGTGAGTCGCCTCAACAATAGATCACTCACCGTGTATCGATGGAGTCCCTTGTAAGTACAGTAGATCTGGTGAGTCATGATAGATAATCTAGCATTCAAGGAATTGAAGAAAACAAGTACCGGAGGTGATTCGCATTCATGTGCCTTCTCTTTCTTTCTGTGAAAAAGATTTCAAAATTGTATTATACGAGCATCAGATGTGATCTTTTTGGTATGGTCTGGGCCAAACCCATACCGCATAAATTACTTTTAATAGCCAAGAGATTAATTGTGGCTTGTTAATCTAAAAGTTTGTCAGTCCAAACTTCAATGTGGGAAGAGTATATAATAATCAAATGACGAGTTTCTGGAATCAAATTTTTGAAAACAAAGATTAAAAGGAACAGGAAATTCAGACTGAGCAGGCCACTCCAATTTCTGGGATACTTTCTTTGTGTACAAGGTCACTAGACATGGCAGAAGGTATTCTATGATGCTTTAAGATTCGAGAAGTAGCTATTTTCGCCATACCATAGTTCAAAACAATCACCCTCTCATCATCCAAATCAAACCTTAATCCCTCTTCTTTGCAGTCTTCCACAAGCTGGCACAAATGTTTCAAATTCTCAATTTCGATGCCATTTACCTTCTTCACCTGCTCAAAAAGATAGTTCTTCAGATTTTGTGGATAAAGAAGAATAAACTATACCAACTAACTGCTTGAAACCAACCAATGTCGAATCGAGCTGCTTTATAAATGACATTAAAATTTATTTACTCCAATTGGAAAAATGAGAAAGAAGAGAGATTCAGGTACATTGATAGGCCTTAATCACTTTACAACATAGTTTTAAAACCCGGCCCGGACACCAACCCGGAGAAGGGACCGGGTCAATAGATTTTTGGTTCAACCACTGGGTCACTGGTCNGTTTTAAAACCCGGCCCGGACACCAACCCGGAGAAGGGACCGGGTCAATAGATTTTTGGTTCAACCACTGGGTCACTGGTCGAACCGGTGATATAATCAAAAAATAAAAAATAATTATTAATGATGATAAATAGACTAAAAAATTAAAATAGTTATAAAAATAACATGCTTAATNACTGGTCGAACCGGTGATATAATAAAAAAATAAAAAATAATTATTAATGATGATAAATAGACTAAAAAATTAAAATAGTTATAAAAATAACATGTTTAATATATATTAAATCAAACAAAGTTATCAAGCCTGAATCACTTAATTGCATTCAATTAACAAACCAATGCATTCAATTAACAGCCCAGCCTCCACCCTCAAACTTGAATCACTTAATTGCATTCACTTAATTTTTGAGTTAACAAACACTGAACGAATTATTTAGGATTTAGGGCAAAACAAAAGGGGAAAAGAAAAAGACAAAAATGTAAAAAAAAAACATATTTATACTAAAGGAACAAAATCGGCCGGTTTTTGTAAACCCGGTCCGGTTTTTTGACCGGTTCACCGGTTTTTTGACTGGTTCTTTACTCAAACGGTCTAATTACAAAACCGGCCCGGTTAGGGGACCGGTTCACCGGGTCAACCCGCCGGGCCGGGCCGGGTTTTAAAACAGTGCTTTACAAGGTTGAATATGACAGTAGGTTTCATAAATTTTGGGAAAAAAAAAAAACACAGGTCTGTGTTCCCTGATTCCCTATTTCTGTGTCATTGGTTTCTGGGTATATGTAGAAAAAAGATAAAAACATAAGAAGGTGCAAATGAAACCATGAGCCGGCACACAAGAATAATATTATAGCAAAAATAGCTGTACCTGTAATTCAGCAAGACGCTCATAACCCACACTGATTTCATCCATCAACACCTGAATTACATATTCAATAACTCATTCAATATGAAATAAACCACAACTATATGGCATGCTTTATACGAACAAATTCCAGATATCCCTCTGCAGTTGCAACCTTAAGGAAGAACAATAAACAACTAAAGTAAATAATACCGAGTTCAAATGAAGTAACACATTTTTTGGGGAATTGCAGGTAATAGTATATAATGTGCTTGTTAGAGAGGTTTGACCCAATCAGATGTGCCACGTGAGAAGAAATAAGAAAGATCAAATGACAATGAGACGAAACAAATTGAACAGCATCTTCATCCTGAAGGAATTAGGGACTCATTTTATACCAGCATGATGAGNAAGGTTCGACCCAATCAGATGTGCCACATGAGAAGAAATAAGAAAGATCAAATGACAATGAGACGAAACAAATTGAACAGCATCTNGAGGTTTGACCCAATCAGATGTGCCACGTGAGAAGAAATAAGAAAGATCAAATGACAATGAGACGAAACAAATTGAACAGCATCTTCATCCTGAAGGAATTAGGGACTCATTTTATACCAGCATGATGAGGAAGCATCTAATAGCTTATTTATGGCTTTGTAGCTGCTTTATGGCTTTTTTTTTGGGCACCCCAAACAGAATGCATGAAGTTTAGACTACCCCTTTTTAACCCGTATCGCTTTTATATTTCACCAAGGCCATCTTAAAACAGCCTGAATCATACTCCTAAGACAAACATACTGCCTTTGCGACCTCTTGCAAATCTTATTATCTTGCTTGAGGCAAGGATCTCTACATAATTACTAGCAACTGCTCCTAACTGTAGAAGGTATTTCAGTATTTGAACTAACCATTTGCAAAATATCCAGCTTCATTTTTTTATCACCTAGTTTCAGCACTAAACTGTGCACCCAACTACTCTATTTTACCGCATGTCACAAAACTTCCTGGAAATTTTTTTAAAGCCAGTCCCACGCCTAGGTAAAGGAAGATTGTTAGCAAAATATTTGTCAAATGTCTAAGGAAGATATAATAGCTTACTGACTTGATCGAGCACAATGGAGGAACAACATTCATTTAACTGNTGGTTCTTTACTCAAACGGTCTAATTACAAAACCGGCCCGATTAGGGGACCGGTTCACCGGGTCAACCCGCCGGGCCGGGCCGGGTTTTAAAACAGTGCTTTACAAGGTTGAATATGACAGTAGGTTTCATAAATTTTGGGAAAAAAAAAAAACACAGGTCTGTGTCCCCTGATTCCCTATTTCTGTGTCATTGGTTTCTGGGTATATGTAGAAAAAAGATAAAAACATAAGAAGGTGCAAATGAAACCATGAGCCGGCACACAAGAATAATATTATAGCAAAAATAGCTGTACCTGTAATTCAGCAAGACGCTCATAACCCACACTGATTTCATCCATCAACACCTGAATTACATATTCAATAACTCATTCAATATGAAATAAACCACAACTATATGGCATGCTTTATACGAACAAATTCCAGATATCCCTCTGCAGTTGCAACCTTAAGGAAGAACAATAAACAACTAAAGTAAATAATACCGAGTTCAAATGAAGTAACACATTTTTTGGGGAATTGCAGGTAATAGTATATAATGTGCTTGTTAGAGAGGTTTGACCCAATCAGATGTGCCACGTGAGAAGAAATAAGAAAGATCAAATGACAATGAGACGAAACAAATTGAACAGCATCTTCATCCTGAAGGAATTAGGGACTCATTTTATACCAGCATGATGAGGAAGCATCTAATAGCTTATTTATGGCTTTGTAGCTGCTTTATGGCTTTTTTTTTGGGCACCCCAAACAGAATGCATGAAGTTTAGACTACCCCTTTTTAACCCGTATCGCTTTTATATTTCACCAAGGCCATCTTAAAACAGCCTGAATCATACTCCTAAGACAAACATACTGCCTTTGCGACCTCTTGCAAATCTTATTATCTTGCTTGAGGCAAGGATCTCTACATAATTACTAGCAACTGCTCCTAACTGTAGAAGGTATTTCAGTATTTGAACTAACCATTTGCAAAATATCCAGCTTCATTTTTTTATCACCTAGTTTCAGCACTAAACTGTGCACCCAACTACTCTATTTTACCGCATGTCACAAAACTTCCTGGAAATTTTTTTAAAGCCAGTCCCACGCCTAGGTAAAGGAAGATTGTTAGCAAAATATTTGTCAAATGTCTAAGGAAGATATAATAGCTTACTGACTTGATCGAGCACAATGGAGGAACAACATTCATTTAACTGACCCCAAAAGTTGGGTTAAGACTTTGAGTTGAGTAGAGACCTACACATGATTTTTAGAGTTTTACTTTACGTTAAGGCTTTGAAATTATTCCATTCTCTCAAATTTAATGATCCTTTTAAAATTTCCAACTTTGACGGAGGAAATTTGAACTGCGAACTTTTAAATCACCTTTAACAAACCTCCCTCAAAAACTGAAATTGAGAGGGGAAAAAGGGTAGACTAATGTTGAAGAAAGAAAGCATACTATAGCATAGGGATAAAGTACCATAAATTTCATTTCAAACATCATAAATTTCATGTCAGCCACTACAGCTGCAAGGAAATCATTTCAAAAATTCTCCCCAGGGACATGAAATGTTGGAACCAGATTTTGTAATGTNCTTCATCCTGAAGGAATTAGGGACTCATTTTATACCAGCATGATGAGGAAGCATCTAATAGCTTATTTATGGCTTTGTAGCTGCTTTATGGCTTTTTTTTTGGGCACCCCAAACAGAATGCATGAAGTTTAGACTACCCCTTTTTAACCCGTATCGCTTTTATATTTCACCAAGGCCATCTTAAAACAGCCTGAATCATACTCCTAAGACAAACATACTGCCTTTGCGACCTCTTGCAAATCTTATTATCTTGCTTGAGGCAAGGATCTCTACATAATTACTAGCAACTGCTCCTAACTGTAGAAGGTATTTCAGTATTTGAACTAACCATTTGCAAAATATCCAGCTTCATTTTTTTATCACCTAGTTTCAGCACTAAACTGTGCACCCAACTACTCTATTTTACCGCATGTCACAAAACTTCCTGGAAATTTTTTTAAAGCCAGTCCCACGCCTAGGTAAAGGAAGATTGTTAGCAAAATATTTGTCAAATGTCTAAGGAAGATATAATAGCTTACTGACTTGATCGAGCACAATGGAGGAACAACATTCATTTAACTGACCCCAAAAGTTGGGTTAAGACTTTGAGTTGAGTAGAGACCTACACATGATTTTTAGAGTTTTACTTTACGTTAAGGCTTTGAAATTATTCCATTCTCTCAAATTTAATGATCCTTTTAAAATTTCCAACTTTGACGGAGGAAATTTGAACTGCGAACTTTTAAATCACCTTTAACAAACCTCCCTCAAAAACTGAAATTGAGAGGGGAAAAAGGGTAGACTAATGTTGAAGAAAGAAAGCATACTATAGCATAGGGATAAAGTACCATAAATTTCATTTCAAACATCATAAATTTCATGTCAGCCACTACAGCTGCAAGGAAATCATTTCAAAAATTCTCCCCAGGGACATGAAATGTTGGAACCAGATTTTGTAATGTATTAGAAAGATACAAAGTCCAAAAGTACAATGAAAAGGATAACGTAGTTTGGTTAGAATATGCTACCCACATGCCAAGACAGTGGTAGAAACACAATGGTATCGGGGAAAAAAATTTAAAACATTGAATCCAAAACTTCTGCAAAACATTCTGGAGCAGGAGAATTTTGATCCTCCATCACCGATTAGTTTCAGTGTCCACCCAAACCGAAATGCTCAAGTTGTTTTGACAGAAAGAAGTGAAATTTGGTTCCCTTAAAGCATTAAAAGTAAAAATCCCAGTTTATCATGTTGAAATGGTTCAGATACAAACTTCATCACATATAGAACTGTATCCTAATCCATAAAGGTCTAGTTAGATGCAAACACAAGGTTGAACCTTGAAAAAACCAAAACTCAACCTTGAAGACAGTGGGTCCCACCCAAGCTTCATTTAGTTAACTCATTTCAGCTATGGGCATGGCAGGTTGTGTGGGTTAAGTCTTTTGACTTGTGTTTTGAACAACAAGAATCATAACAAGACAGGAAAAAATCCAGATTTCAAGATAAATAACCAGAAGAAAAAGTAAGAGCAACAGACAATTGTGATGGAATATGAGAAACTAAAATGAGAACGGAATCCAAAATAAAATTGTCTTCTGGCAGTAAAAATTGAACACCAAGTAATATCAATAAAGAATACTTTCGATTGTTGGGGCCAATTATCCAGAAGGAGTGAGAAATGGAGACTTATGCATACAACTAAAGCAGGATGGATAAAGTGACAGAATGTACCTGGTCCTGGTGTATTGCGTCATCAATATACACCTCTTACGGTGAAAAATAAGTTCTACAAGACAGCCAGACCAGCAAGACTTTACAGTACAGAAATGTGGATGTTTAGATGGACGTGTGAAAAATATAAAGAATAGAATTAGAAATAAGTATATTTGTGAAACCATACAAGTTGCTTCAATAGAAGATACAGGAGGAGTGAATTGGCTTACGTGGTCCGGATATGTTTATAAAATGTCTGCTACTGCTCTAATGAGGAAAAGTGATGTGATAAGGTGATACCCATCAATAGGTAGACCACAATTAACTTTGAAGTAGAATATGGAAAAAGATATGAAGGCCTGCTATTTAACCAGAATATGACCTTCGATTGAGCACAATGAATGAAGGGCTTCATGTAGCCAACCAAAACAATTGAGGTATGGTGCTGTTGAGTTGAGAAACATAACACACTTGCAAAAACACCTGAATGGACACTGCGTTCTAAGTACCCAAATTTATTCCATTTGTGAGGCCTTTCAGGAAACTATTCACTTTAAAGTTCAACCTAGTTGCTTAGTGAGATTTTAGCTGTTGGTCCATATTTAAGCTGAAGAGTGAAACCTGAAAAAGAGTAGAAAGAGGAGAGCAGCAACCAGCTAGGACCTCAACTTTCCAAGGTCATGGCTGTGATTAAAAATTATGGATGAGTCTTAACTTCTTTAGAACATCAGTGAGAATGAGGGATGTGAATCTTCCATATTATCTTTCCAACATGCCAGAAATTAATGTTGTCGTCAATCTAAGGTATCAATGGTCTTAGATGGATTGACTCTGGTTTCCGGATGCCTTAACCCAAGCCTGAACTGAATCAAAGTCAGATTATGATATTCAGCACTACACCAAACTAAGTACTGAGACTTTAGTCCAAGCCCACACAAGTGCAGTAATGCGGGAAGTTATGCTGCAACAGCTTACCTATACTTAAAATAGACAGAAATGATAAAATATATTTATCGTAACGGCAATAGCATTTTATAAAAAGAGTAGGATTCAAAAAGTGCAATGGAGGACAAGATACCCTCCCAAAGATCCATACATTTGCATAGAGAAAAATCCATAGAAACTCTACAATCCGCAGAACATTCTCTAATCTGAAATTTAAATGGAATATTGTCAAACTCCCTGGTCATTGAAAATCACAAGGATATTAAAACTAAACTCTAATCACGTAAACAATCTCTCATCTAACGTCTACCCTCGAAGGCTCTAACACTTCTTGCCAACCAAATACCCAAAACAATTGAATTGCATATTTCCAAAAAGTAACAGCTATTTTATCCTTCCAAAACCCCTGGAACCTTTCTCAAACAAAGATAGACAATGCCTACAAACCACACCAGTCACTTCAGCCAATCCGAATAATTCCACGACAATCTCAATTAAACCAGACCACAAAGAAGTGTGATCAATGCTCTCACCTTTCTTTTAACACATGAAACACTAGTGTTAACAAGAAAACATAAGGTCTCCTTTTCTTAATCAAAACATTAATGTTAATCTTACCATAAACTATTGTTCATGCACATAATTGAACCTTAATCCTTTACCTTCTCCATTATCAAAGATGGAAGAAAACTAGAGTGGAATACTCATCAATCAAATAACCAAAGAACGATTTCAAAGTGAACAACTTGAGATTTTCTTCAATCAGAGGACATAAGATTTAGCAAACTATCACTAAGCCAAGAAACCAAGGAGGAAGCACAGCTCTTGAATTTCCAAGAAAAATTGAAATTTTAGGTGTTAGATCATATTTATAATTGACTAATTTCGTGGAGTTCATTTTAAATCGCAACCCATTCCATGGTCATAATGCTATCAGGTTCAATACCCAAAAGCATCATTGAAGGGAAGAGATCAAATGTCAAAGCAAAATCATTCAACCTCGATATGCTTTCATGCTTAGGACAAAAGAATGACATAGACACTTAAGATGAACCCTTAGTTATTTTTAACATAAGTTTATTAGGATGAAAATGGAATTGGAAACAATCTGATTATGACTCCTACGTGATTTTAAAAGAAAAGATTTTATAAACTATTATGAGTTTTGACAACATAATTTGAGTCACAATCAGACACCTGTTTGAGCAACACCCTTTAGTGCTCAAGAGGATAAGGGTCTGTTTGTTTAATATTTTTGTTTTGTGTTTTATGTTTTTGTTTTCAATTTTTGCCAAAAAAACAAACAAAAATATGTTTGGTAATTGTTTTTTTTTTGTGTGTTTTTTTTTCAAATTAATTGTCTTGGAAACAAGTTGAAAAATGGGAACAAAAAAAATGTGTTCCAAGAAACAAGAAACACGCATTTTGGCAAATGAAGAATTTTAATGAGGTCTCAACTTCGACTCTTGTTAGCCATAAANGTTTTTTGTGTTTTTTTTTTCAAATTAATTGTCTTGGAAACAAGTTGAAAAATGGGAACAAAAAAAATGTGTTCCAAGAAACACGCGTTTTGGCAAATGAAGAATTTTAATGAGGTCTCAACTTCGACTCTTGTTAGCCATAAAAGACCACAACATATGATGAAGTATAAATATGGGGCCTTTTGGTCTTTTTTCATTTTCGTTCTCACATCCTCTCTCTCCCAACCACTCTCTTCTCTCCCTCGCAACGACTCTCTCTTCTCCTCCACGATGGTGTGAATCCAACTGGGATGAAGAAGAGGCTTCCACTTTGATCTCCTCACGATCCTCCATCTGCTAGTCTGTCGATCCCCTCCATCGATTTATCTGTTGCTGTGAATGTAAGGTAAGTGTATCCATTCAAATATANTTCCCAACCACTCTCTTCTCTCCCTCGCAACGACTCTCTCTTCTCCTCCACGATGGTGTGAACCCAACTGGGATGAAGAAGAGGCTTCCACTTTGATCTCCTCACGATCCTCCATCTGCTAGTCTGTCGATCTCCTCCATCGATTTATCTGTTGCTGTGAATGTAAGGTAAGTGTATCCATTCAAATATATGTCAAATCTGTGAATGTAGGGTAACAGATGTATATATATATATATATACAAGGCCAGATCCGTGATGGTTGTATCTGTGTGTGAGTTCATGTGAATGTCGTAACCCTAGAAACTCACTCACTTTTAATTTATTTAATCTCTGTTTGGTTGTTGCGAAAATGTTTGAATCTCTATTTTGTTGTATCGAAAATGTTTGAAAATGGATGAAGTCTTGGCATTTAGGTTTNCATGTGAATGTCGTAACCCTAGAAACTCACTCACTTTTAATTTATTTAATCTCTATTTGGTTGTTGCGAAAATGTTTGAATCTCTATTTTGTTGTATCGAAAATGTTTGAAAATGGATGAAGTCTTGGCATTTAGGTTTTCGTTTTTGCTTAGTTTGAAGGTTGGATTGTACTAATTTTTTGGTTTGAAATTAGTGTTAGTGTTTTATGTTTGAAATTAAAATTGATTTTTATATGCCCATAAAGTATTCGATGAATTACCTGAAAAAATGTATATTGTTTATGTTATATGTCATAAGCTTGCTAAAACTGTTCATCAACAATGGCAATTGACTTGCCATGTTCTACCTTTTGAAAAATATGAATACGTGAAGGTCATTGACCCAACCACCTGGTGTGCCCACCGGCGGCATTGCAGTTCAAATCATGGGTCATTTTCAAATTTACTTGATTTAGTAAGGATCAAATTTGAAATGATGATTCTATTTTTTACTTAAATCGAGCTCTATCTACTTGAGCTATCATTTCTTCTTCTTCTTTTTTGGACATTTGTTAATGGTTGTTTAAGGGAAAAAGAAAAGTAAATCCTAAATTGTTAATGGGGCAGCAAAGTGCTCATGAAGTGGGTGTCTATTGTCCCAGTCATTGAAGGCAAGTGAATTGAGCTTTTTACTCCATTGTGCTAAAGACAAGTCTCAATTTAGAGAGAGCCTGAAGGGATGTAGATGTCCTGGCAGGCAGAACTTGGGAGCTTCAAATAATAGTGGGAATGTGGCCTTAAAAGGCACAAACATATTTATAACTCACCAAGGAGGTTTATGGCTGTCAACTCTTAATTAATATTTACCTATCTACCATTAAACACGAAATTATTGATTATAATTTCAGTTCTAACAATATTAGATCATAAACAAAAGCACTAATCTTATTTTTTTACATATATCAATAAGAAAATGTACGTAGTTTTTTATATCACTGTCGGTTCTTGAATCTAATACATAAACTTTTAGTTTAGTGGAAACGCTGATAGTTAAAGGCTTAACTAGTTAACAATCTTTACAAAATTTTACTAATGACCAAGCAGTGCAGATGACTTCGAGATTTTCAACTTTGTATAGAGGATCTTTTAGTTCAGTTTCTTGAATAGCTAGCCATTAAATTGAAGAATGTCTACTATAACTTTAAAATGTCGTCTTTTTTCTTTTCATTTCTTTTTGGCGTGAATTCAATGTGAGATCTCAAGGATAAATTCTTTCCTAGTGTTTTGTTTAATTTAATTATTCATCACATCTTTGATATTATGTTGAGAGCATATTTGCACATTACGTGTATTTTTTGGTTTTTGATTTTCAGATATTGATAAGGCTGGAGAATGTAGTATTGAAATTTGTCTGTCTTTCTTCTCCTATATTGAATGCGATGGAGATACTATATGATGCAAAGCTTCAAGAGTTTTTTGGATGTGAAAGTAGTTCAACATTACGATACCAGAGATGTTGGCTCGCCACCATCTATATGGGAGATCATGACATAACTGCAAGTTATCGACTTAGGGTAGATGGTGCATNGCATTAGGATACGAGAGATGTTGGCTCGCCACCATCTATATGGGAGATCATGACATAACTGCAAGTTATCNACATTACGATACCAGAGATGTTGGCTCGCCACCATCTATATGGGAGATCATGACATAACTGCAAGTTATCGACTTAGGGTAGATGGTGCATTTGGAGAGAATTTCTTTTTTGGTGCATTGGGAGAGTATTTCTTTTGTTTAACAATGTATTGATACTTTCAATTGGATTTTTTTGTACTTATGAAAACCTTGACTGTAATTTCTTTTGTACTTTGTAATATATGTTGCAACAAAATGTCCTCTTGATTGTCATTTCTTTTGTACTTTTTAATATATGTTGTAACAAAATACTACTTTCAATGTCATCCATGTTCATGCTAATGTAATTAGGTGTACTACAATAACGCATATTGGCCCTCCATGCTTGTGTGGATCCGGGAACATGAATATTTTGGTCACAATGACCAAAAGAAACAATGGACAAGCTTTTTATCGTTATACATGATGGCGTGAACATGATAATTGTTTCATATGAGTTGATGAGTACAACGCAATTACAAATGAACATCATCTGATTCCCCAAGCCCAATCAAGATGGAGAGAGAAGAAATGAATTAGTGGATGTGTTTGAGTTACGAATTTTTGGATTTGTATTTTGTTGTATGAGATATTATAAAACATATTTAGGATATAATAATGCATATTTAGTATATAACTTGAAGTAGTTACCAAACATTTTTTTTGTTTTTATTCTCATAATTTGATAAATACAAATGACTTCCAAACATATTTTATATTTTCAGTGTTTTACTACAAAACATAGACAGAAATTATCTTTGTTTTCACGTTTTTGCAAACGGGCCCTAAATTTTTGCATTATGCTTAAAAACCTATAGGGACTGATCTATGCTCGTTAGTCTTTGCTAGAACAGCCTCTTTATAACTTAAGGAAAGAAAGAAAAAAAGGTCATGGAAGGCTGCAAATGGCTCGTTCTATGAGCTCGCTCAAGCGGTCTGATGGTCACTCAAATGGTACTTGCCTTAGTCAAGATTGGAACTTGTTTTTCATTCTAGCGACAACCGTCCTATGATCGCCCTCCCACCGATTGAGCAATCATTTGTGAATCTGAATTTTTTATTTACTAAGACTATACCTATTCTAGACCTATAAATAGAAAGAGCTTTTCTCACATCTAGGTTAAGCCTCTTATTAGATTTCTAAGAAAAATCATACTTCTACCTTGAGAGCTTCTACAACAACATAAATTCCTAAGACTCAAAAGACTACCACTAANTATTTACTAAGACTATACTTATTCTAGACCTATAAATAGAAAGAGCTTTTCTCACATCTAGGTTAAGCCTCTTATTAGATTTCTAAGAAAAAATCATACTTCTACCTTGAGAGCTTCTACAACAACATAAATTCCTAAGACTCAAAAGACTACCACTAAAGATTCTACCCAACCTCCCAACTTGGAGAAGAAGATTTTGATAATTTGATAAACCCATTAGTATGTGTGCACCGAGAATCGTTGACATGCCCATGATTGCTCGAGGTCTAAACGAGCCATGTAGCGGAAAGGTCCAAGTAAAGCTACACTAAACGTCAAAAAAGGGCTTTTAGCAGAGAGACAACAAGGAAATGAACATCTAACCATAGTATTAGTTCCAGTATAAGTCTCGAATACTTGTATGTCAACTTAGCGAGTAGTTGATTAAGCTTTTAGTGAACCGAGAAGGTTCCCTGCAATTTTTTTCCGAGAAGAGTTTCCGCATCAACAAATCACTTGTGTTCCTTATTGTTTANAACGAGCCATGTAGCGGAAAGGTCCAAGTAAAGCTACACTAAACGTCAAAAAAGGACTTTTAGCAGAGAGACAACAAGGAAATGAACATCTAACCATAGTATTAGTTCAAGTATAAGTCTCGAATACTTGTATGTCAACTTAGCGAGTAGTTGATTAAGCTTTTAGTGAACCGAGAAGGTTCCTTGCGATTTTTTTCCGAGAAGAGTTTCCGCATCAACAAATCACTTGTGTTCCTTATTGTTTATTGTACACACTTGTAATTGTTTGCACACATGCGCATTATGTGTTTGTGGATTTGATTGTTTGAATATTCATCCATATATAGTTGTACAATTGGGTTTAGGTTTTGAAATCGACGTGAGATTGATTACGAGCGAATTAATTGAATATTAATTTAATCAATCATCATGGTGAGAGTGAGCTATGATGACTAAAGGAGTTCTCATATCCTTTATTAAATCTTGGTGAGACAAGATAATTGTGGCGGTTTAGATTTTGATAAATAATCAGTTGGGCTACAACTGAAAAATCTAGTCACCCTCCCCCCTCTAGGTATAGAGTGTCTTGAGCTCCATGTGTATAATCGTGAGAGAAGATCCATGTTGGGCTTTCCCTCCCAGAACAACAAGGTGATTGAAGATGAAGCAAATAAAATCATGTAAGCAACAGAAACATTATAAGCTGAGATAAACCACAAATACGAGGAAACACAAATGAAAATAAAGAACCACCAAGATGAACATCCTACCAAAAATGAATTCCCATTAAGCAAAAAAAATGAAAATTATCCCATTTATAAAATTAAACTACCTGGAAATACAAAACCATAGCAACAAAAAAGGGTAAATACTATTTAGCACCATCAATAATTTATTTTATAACAATAATTTATTTTATAACCACTTAATAAAAGCCTTTGAATTAGTTAGTCATCAATAGGTTGACCATGCTTATTACATTTGAATACGGTCCTTCGATCTAAATTAGTAGTTCTTACATTCACATACAGAGGCGGAGGACACGGAGCCAAAAAATTATCTTTGGATGGACACTTTAAGAAGTTAATTTTTTTTAATTAAATCAAGAGAAAAAATAACATATTAGTATTTATTTACATTTTGTTACATTTGACACTTAAAAATTCATTAAATAAAAAAAGGCTAAAAATCACTATGTATACCAAGCAAAAAATACAAGAAGATTAACTACAAAATAACCCCAATATGTCCAAAAACTTATCCAAATGTGTTGAAAATATCTTGAAAAATTTGATAGTCATTGTTATAGGTCAAACAAGTGATACAAATAGGGTGAGCATAATACAAAATCCTTAAGAAATTTTGAAAATATATGTAAGTAATGATAAGAGAACAAGTTTGAGGGTGAGCACATACTGGCTCCGCCAGTGTTGACGTATAAAGTAATGGTTTAACTTCTTTTATAGATGGAAAAAGAGTTTGACCATGAAGTACTATTATACGAAGATATCCTCATATACAGAACACTATGTTAATATATTCCACTATATAATTGACATATCGAGCTTACAAATAGTTAACAAATTTAAATGATTTCAATAACCCAAAATTTGTGATTAATAGTTTTGAAAAATTATTTATATGTGATGAGTAGTTTTGAAAAATTATTTGTGAGACCGGAAAAGTTTAGTGAACAGTTTCCAATTACATTGAGCTNCCACGGAGCCAAAAAAATTATCTTTGGATGGACACTTTAAGAAGTTAATTTTTTTTTAATTAAATCAAGAGAAAAAATAACATATTAGTATTTATTTACATTTTGTTACATTTGACACTTAAAAATTCATTAAATAAAAAAAGGCTAAAAATCACTATGTATACCAAGCAAAAAATACAAGAAGATTAACTACAAAATAACCCCAATATGTCCAAAAACTTATCCAAATGTGTTGAAAATATCTTGAAAAATTTGATAGTCATTGTTATAGGTCAAACAAGTGATACAAATAGGGTGAGCATAATACAAAATCCTTAAGAAATTTTGAAAATATATGTAAGTAATGATAAGAGAACAAGTTTGAGGGTGAGCACATACTGGCTCCGCCAGTGTTGACGTATAAAGTAATGGTTTAACTTCTTTTATAGATGGAAAAAGAGTTTGACCATGAAGTACTATTATACGAAGATATCCTCATATACAGAACACTATGTTAATATATTCCACTATATAATTGACATATCGAGCTTACAAATAGTTAACAAATTTAAATGATTTCAATAACCCAAAATTTGTGATGAATAGTTTTGAAAAATTATTTATATGTGATGAGTAGTTTTGAAAAATTATTTGTGAGACCGGAAAAGTTTAGTGAACAGTTTCCAATTACATTGAGCTTTGATCAATAAGCACGTAAGATTTTGGGTTCAAGCCTCTTTGTGAGTAAAATACAAAGCATTAGGTTTGTACCCAAGCCTACTCCTCCCAGCACCGTCTTTTAACAAGGGCGAATTAATGACCTTTTCTCGGGGTGGAAACATAAAAAGTTTAGAAACAACCGTCGAGCTTGATCTACTTCCCACAAAAAAGAAATTTCATTGATCTATTGTATAGTGAAAGCAATTCATACTTTTAAACAGCACATAGAGCATTATGATTTACAAGGATACAAATACGTACTGTTTTCTTCCCTGGTGCCAAGGGACATCATCTGGTGCAGTGGTAAATTAAACCAAAGCCTTATTAACCACATCCTAATAAATATCCGTACTCTATATTTTGAAAAATAATACACCGGGCTTTTTTTTTTATCAATTCTCTCTTTATCTTGTTGATGTGAAAGTATCTGAGTGTTGCACATCAAAACCTAAATGTCCCCACAAGAAGAAGAATGCAAAATAAAAACAAAAGCAGCCAAAGAAGAGGAAGAATAAGAAAGACCTGAGACAGAATGACAAGTTGTTCACCAGCTTTTCTTGGCAGTTCCCTCAGTGCTCGTTCACACAACCGACGGGGTGAGTTATTGTACCAGTCTTCTCCATACTCATGAAGATATGGCTGGGTCAGTGGAACAAAGACCAAACCAGCGAAAATGAAATAACTAGGAAGCTTATCAAATTGATGAACAGGGACAAGTGGCTGCAACTGCAACATTACGAACTTTATATATCAATAAGCAAAACAAAGTATTTGATCAATTAAAAAGACAACAAATGGGTAATAATCATAAACCACAGCATTTAGGTGAAATATGGATAATATGTACTGAGATTGCAATTATTGAACAGTTTAGGCAGATCTAATCGTCTAATGACAACTGAAACTGCTGCAAGATATAATAATATTTGATGTTGTTTTTACCAGACAAGCAATACATTCTAGCATCCATATTTCCAAGATTCAGAAATTTATTTTCACTTACAGCAATGAGGCCAAAATAATATAACATTCCTCATATCATTTTGAAAATTGGTTACATAATGCAAAAGCATTGCCACTTTTTATGATTGTAGTCAGCTCGTTATCTTCTCAACAGGTCGTTTACCATTAACCTGGGTAATCAACAAAATCCATATTGTACAATTTCAAATTCCCAAAATCTTCCACTCCATCTTAGAAATGTGATAATGCTTGTCAGAATTCTTATTTGAACATTTGAACACGATATTATTGTGGATCCATGATCCATCATATTAAGTACAATCCATGGCTCGAAGTATCCATTGACACCAACACCTTGTCGAGTCACCTTTCAATCCGATACCGTTCTACATTGCATATAAATCACAAGTTTAGCCTAGTCATCCAAGAGATCTCTAAGTCAAGCCTGAATCGTTGAATTATCATCTTCAAAACAGTTGTCGATATCGTTCCACAATGCGACCATATGGCCTGAATCTCCATCATGTTCATTTAGGTAGAATTGGTCAATACTATCCTGCGACTAGGGCTGTCAAAATTCGACACGACACGAATTAAACGGATTTGGGTGATAACGGATTGACACGCCAAACACGTTTAATAAACGGGTCGTATTCGGGTGAGACCTGTCAAACTGTTTATTACACGTTTACCCGTTTAAATAAAATTAATATAATAATAAATTAATAANCTGTCAAACTGTTTATTACACGTTTACCCGTTTAAATAAAATTAATATAATAATAAATTAATAATTATTTAAAAAAATTAGCAATAAAAAAGAAGTAAAGAAATCAATAAAAAAAAAAGTAAAGTAGTAGTTCAAAGACAAAGAAGAAGAGTTGGAGAACACTTCAAAGGCAAAAGTAAACAAATGTCTTTTGTTTTTGTCCCACATTAAAAAATGTGGGGAGATGGGGAAGGTTTAGTTTCCTATAAAAGACAATAACCTCTTACTGTTATTTTTAAAGCCTTCAAGTCTTATTTTTCAAAGACAAAGAAGAGGAGTTGTAGAGCACTTGAAAGACAAAGGCAGACCAATGTCTTTTGTTTTTATCCCACATTAAAAAATGAGGGGAGATGGAGAGGGCGAGTTGCTTATAAAAGGTAATAGCCNTGAGTCACCTTTCAATCCGATACCGTTCGACATTGCATATAAATCACAAGTTTAGCCTAGACATCCAAGAGATCTCTAAGTCAAGCCTGAATCGTTGAATTATCATCTTCAAAACAGTTGTCGATATCGTTCCACAATGCGACCATATGGCCTGAATCTCCATCATGTTCATTTAGGTAGAATTGGTCAATACTATCCTGCGACTAGGGCTGTCAAAATTCGACACGACACGAATTAAACGGATTTGGGTGATAACGGATTGACACGCCAAACACGTTTAATAAACGGGTCGTATTCGGGTGAGACCTGTCAAACTGTTTATTACACGTTTACCCGTTTAAATAAAATTAATATAATAATAAATTAATAATTATTTAAAAAAATTAGCAATAAAAAAGAAGTAAAGAAATCAATAAAAAAAAAAGTAAAGTAGTAGTTCAAAGACAAAGAAGAAGAGTTGGAGAACACTTCAAAGGCAAAAGTAAACAAATGTCTTTTGTTTTTGTCCCACATTAAAAAATGTGGGGAGATGGGGAAGGTTTAGTTTCCTATAAAAGACAATAACCTCTTACTGTTATTTTTAAAGCCTTCAAGTCTTATTTTTCAAAGACAAAGAAGAGGAGTTGTAGAGCACTTGAAAGACAAAGGCAGACCAATGTCTTTTGTTTTTATCCCACATTAAAAAATGAGGGGAGATGGAGAGGGCGAGTTGCTTATAAAAGGTAATAGCCTCTTGCTTTTTTTTTAAAGCCTTCAAGTCTTATTTTTATGAGATTTGATTTAAAATTCCTCTTTTTTGAAGTAAGTGCAATTAATAGTAAAAAAAAATGGAGTATTAAAGTTTGTTGATATAATTTTTTTTAAATTAAACGGGTTAAACGAGTCGTGTCGTGCTTTACCTTTTTATTAAACGGGTCGTNACTTGTTCATTTAGGTAGAGTTGGTCAATACTATCCTGCGACTAGGGCTGTCAAAATTCGACACGACACGAATTAAACGGATTTGGGTGATAAACGGGTTGACACGCCAAACACGTTTAATAAACGGGTCGTGTTCGGGTGAGACCTGTCAAACTGTTTATTACACGTTTACCCGTTTAAATAAAATTAATATAATAATAAATTAATAATTATTTAAAAAAATTAGCAACAAAAAAGAAGTAAAGAAATCAATAAAAAAAAAAAGTAAAGTAGTAGTTTAAAGACAAAGGAGAAGAGTTGGAGAACACTTCAAAGGCAAAAATAAACAAATGTCTTTTGTTTTTGTCCCACATTGAAAAATGTGGGGAGATGGGGAAGGTTTAGTTTCCTATAAAAGACAATAACCTCTTACTGTTATTTTTAAAGCCTTCAAGTCTTATTTTTCAAAGACAAAGAAGAGGAGTTGTAGAGCACTTGAAAGACAAAGGCAGACCAATGTCTTTTGTTTTTATCCCACATTAAAAAATGAGGGGAGATGGAGAGGGCGAGTTGCTTATAAAAGGTAATAGCCTCTTGCTTTTTTTTTAAAGCCTTCAAGTCTTATTTTTATGAGATTTGATTTAAAATTTCTCTTTTTTGAAGTAAGTGCAATTAGTAGTAAAAAAAATGGAGTATTAAAGTTTGTTGATATAATTTTTTTTAAATTAAACGGGTTAAACGAGTCGTGTCGTGCTTTACCTTTTTATTAAACGGGTCGTGTTCGTGTTGAGATTTTTTACCCGTTTGTTAAACGTGTTGTGTATGAATTTATACGTTTTTCACCCATCACCCGTTTAACCCGACATGATTAACACCCCTCCTTGCGACACCACAACCAATGTGCTTCTGAGCCCTTCAGTCGATGGTCGATTCAGCAATCTTAAACCATGGTACAATCAAGTTTTAGATTAAAACAAAAAAAAAAAAAGCAATGGATCAAAATTAAGTGGTTAAGGATGGCATCATAACATAATTAATCCTATGGCAACTAAAGGCATTTGCAGTTTCAGAGGAAAACTAATGTATAAGNCAAAAAAGAAGTAAAGAAATCAATAAAAAAAAAAAGTAAAGTAGTAGTTTAAAGACAAAGGAGAAGAGTTGGAGAACACTTCAAAGGCAAAAATAAACAAATGTCTTTTGTTTTTGTCCCACATTGAAAAATGTGGGGAGATGGGGAAGGTTTAGTTTCCTATAAAAGACAATAACCTCTTACTGTTATTTTTAAAGCCTTCAAGTCTTATTTTTCAAAGACAAAGAAGAGGAGTTGTAGAGCACTTGAAAGACAAAGGCAGACCAATGTCTTTTGTTTTTATCCCACATTAAAAAATGAGGGGAGATGGAGAGGGCGAGTTGCTTATAAAAGGTAATAGCCTCTTGCTTTTTTTTTAAAGCCTTCAAGTCTTATTTTTATGAGATTTGATTTAAAATTCCTCTTTTTTGAAGTAAGTGCAATTAATAGTAAAAAAAAATGGAGTATTAAAGTTTGTTGATATAATTTTTTTTAAATTAAACGGGTTAAACGAGTCGTGTCGTGCTTTACCTTTTTATTAAACGGGTCGTGTTCATGTTGAGATTTTTTACCCGTTTTTTAAACGTGTTGTGTATGAATTTATACGTTTTTCACCCATCACCCGTTTAACCCGACACGTAACCATTTAACCCGACATGATTAACACCCCTCCTTGCGACACCACAACCAATGTGCTTTTGAGCCCTTCAGTCGATGGTCGATTCAGCAATCTTAAACCATGGTACAATCAAGTTTTAGATTAAAACAAAAAAAAAAAAAGCAATGTGGATCAAAATTAAGTGGTTAAGGATGGCATCATAACATAATTAATCCTATGGCAACTAAAGGCATTTGCAGTTTCAGAGGAAAACTAATGTATAGGCAATGACATGATTTCTTGTATATGATCATGGAAGAGGTTGATGCTTTGGAAGTCAAAATACTCGAGATTGAATCATGATTCAAGGTCGTATCAACCATCAACTCCGAGGATACTGAGTTGCGACAACATGGCGTAGTACTGGCCGATTCACAAAAAGCTAGATAAAAGGTCCAAAAAATTCTGAGAAAATCATAAAAAGCTGAAAAATATAAATAACAAGANGTAAGTGCAATTAGTAGTAAAAAAAATGGAGTATTAAAGTTTGTTGATATAATTTTTTTTAAATTAAACGGGTTAAACGAGTCGTGTCGTGCTTTACCTTTTTATTAAACGGGTCGTGTTCGTGTTGAGATTTTTTACCCGTTTTTTAAACGTGTTGTGTATGAATTTATACGTTTTTCACCCATCACCCGTTTAACCCGACACGTAACCATTTAACCCGACATGATTAACACCCCTCCTTGCGACACCACAACCAATGTGCTTTTGAGCCCTTCAGTCGATGGTCGATTCAGCAATCTTAAACCATGGTACAATCAAGTTTTAGATTAAAACAAAAAAAAAAAAAAAAGCAATGGATCAAAATTAAGTGGTTAAGGATGGCATCATAACATAATTAATCCTATGGCAACTAAAGGCATTTGCAGTTTCAGAGGAAAACTAATGTATAAGCAATGACATGATTTCTTGTATATGATCATGGAAGAGGTTGATGCTTTGGAAGTCAAAATACTCGAGATTGAATCATGATTCAAGGTCGTATCAACCATCAACTCCGAGGATACTGAGTTGCGACAACATGGCGTAGTACTGGCCGATTCACAAAAAGCTAGATAAAAGGTCCAAAAAATTCTGAGAAAATCATAAAAAGCTGAAAAATATAAATAACAAGACCCATGCATCATATATCCAAAATGCATCACGAAATACATTAAATGGAGTGAAAATGAAATACAAGGGCACTATTGAAAATATTTATCACCATTAGTGTTCAATGGAAGCATTTAAGAACTTATAAAAAAAAGGTAAATAAATATAGNATGTTGAGATTTTTTACCCGTTTTTTAAACGTGTTGTGTATGAATTTATACGTTTTTCACCCATCACCCGTTTAACCCGACACGTAACCATTTAACCCGACATGATTAACACCCCTCCTTGCGACACCACAACCAATGTGCTTTTGAGCCCTTCAGTCGATGGTCGATTCAGCAATCTTAAAC